TATTGTTGTTGTTGTTATTGCTCAGGCTGTGTGTAGTTTGAATTGATTGCACTCTATTAATAAAAAGGATGTTGATGCATTGATGATGATGATTAGGATGATGATGATGATATAAACACTGATGATGATGATATAAACACTGATGATGATGACATAAACACTGATGATGATGATATAAACACTGAAGATGACAATGATGATGATGTGATTTGTTTTCGTAAGATAATGATGATGATGATGATGTTTACGACGACGACGATGATAATGATGATGTTTACGAAGACGACGATGATGATCATGATGATGATGCTTACGACGATGATGATAATGGCCAGATTTATTTTATAATGTTCAGCGATTACACGTGACGAAATTTATTAATGTTGATGTTGCTTTAAGTTCAAATTATGTTTTTCTTATACTGATGACAATTTGTCATATGGGAAAATGAAAAATGATGATGAAAATGCAGATGGTGATGATGACAACGATGATGATGAAGATGATGATGGAAATGACAGTAGCAATTGGTGCTATAAGCAAGTGACAACACTAATGACAAAAATAATAATCATGTAGATGAAGATGACGTTCAAGATGATGAAGATGATGATGAAGATGATGATGAAGCTGATGACTACGGTGATTAAGATGATGATGATGATGAGGAAGATGATGATGATGAGGAGGAGGATGATGATGATATAATGAGGATCATCATTTTTACGTCATCACTTTATGCTGATGACGGAAATAAAAATATAAATAAAAACAACAAAACTTTAATGACGTCATCAACCTTTTAAAAAACATCAACTTGAAGATGACGACATTTCATAATGATCTCATCATTTTTCGGCAATGACTCCATCAATGTTTAGTGATGACGACGATTGTGGTTGGCTACGATGACGCGACACTTGGATTATGACGTCATCGTACCATTGACAATGATGACGTTAAAATTACATCTGACAAACTTACCAAAAAAAAAAATAAGGACTATTAAGTCAATCAATCAACACAATACACACAGAGATTAACACACATGTTAATCTCTGTTAATCTCAGACACGCATAGTTAGATTAAATTATAAATTTATAATTTGGAGGATTTGGATATCAGCAACATCAGAAGAAGCATCACACACTCTACACAAAAAGGACACTCAATCACAACAATATAACACTTATAATATCAGAGCCCAATATAAGATCAAAAATATGTAACTAATAACTTCATGATTGGTTGAATTGAATGAATAAACGAAAAAACGAACGAACGAACGAACGAATGAATGAATGAATGAATGAACAAATAGATAAACGAATGAATGAATGATTGATTGATTGATTGATCACAAGGCACTGATGACGTCAAGCTCAGTTCATACAATTGTTGGTGATTTGAACGCATGGGAGATTAATTCTCCATTCCATTGACTGAATAGGTTACGTTATCATTATCAGTACCAATTGATGATGATGATGATGATGACGAGGACGACGATAACGATGATGATGATGATGATGATGATGATGATGATGATGATGATGATGATGACGACGAGGACGACGACGACGACGACGACGACGATGATGATGATGATGATGATGATGATGATGATGATGATGATGATGATGATTAAATATTGATGATGACGATGACTAGAGACCCAGCGAATATTCGTCCCGG